CCCCAAAACCCCAAAACCCCAAAACCCCAAAACCCCAAAACCCCATTTGTGAATATTGCTATTAAAGATTGAAAATTATGAAATTAAGAATTATAATATTATTATTATTCATTTCCAGCATTCTGCTAACTTTGAATAATTTTTAACATACTCTAAGTGCTTCTCTGGAGTTGCAATATTTTCCAGCTTAATAAGCAATGTTGCATCCCATGACTATAATAAGTTTTTTCTTTAAAAATTTTATTTACAGCAGAATTGAGATAAACTTCTTGATAGTTTCCTATGGTTATTCTGTCAAATTTGACCTTCTTTTTAGAAACTTTTGCGAATTCAGGCGCAAAATCAATTATCTTAAGAGGTTGATCTAAAAATAATAAATAAAATTAGAATAATTACTCGTTAGTATTGAATGAATTTGTATAGTAGTGTTGTTCAAGAAATAGAGGTAAGGAAATCCTAGACTTTAAACTTCATCAGATAAGTCAAAATCAGTAATAGCGTTTTTCTCCACATTTATTGAGGCCTTATACTTTCCAAGTCTGAATTCCTCACTTCTGAAGATCACAAATTCATGAGTGAATATATCTTTTGTTGAAAATAAGTGATCTTTCAATAACTCTATGCACACAAATCTCTTATTCTTCGACGATTTTATTGAACCTAGCTTAGCTGCAGCCTCAACTGTTTTGTACTTTACATTTGCTCTTCTTGTGATGAAATTTTATGCATTAAAGACATATTCTTCAAATTCCTTTAACTCTTCTTCTTGAGCAGGAGGTTAAACAGGTGGGAGGATAAATGTCTATAGAAATTTTAGAATATCAGTAACTTACTTAAACACCACCATTGGCCTTAACCAATATGTCAAGTGCCTTTCTTTTAATTGCTTCATATACAATTCCTGTCTCCATATAAGCCGTGATAGTCTGCATAATTTTTGCATTAATTGATTTCGCTGCTTCTATCTCTTTTTCTTTACCAGGTGGGAATTACCTTACTTCGTTAGCTCTTACAAATTTATTGTATTGCATTCCAATTCGAAATTTAGCAGCTGGTTTACTTGGAAACTTGTCTTTATCTTAAGGCTTCTTCCAAACAAAGATATGGCCTGCAACGTCTATTGATATTATTAACTGAGGTGATTATAGAGGATTTGTAGGATTTTCAACAGATTACAAAAATATTACTGGTACTTTATGCCCAAGAATGAAATCAACGTTAGAATTAGCAGTCTTAAACATATCTTTGGCCTCCTTATTTTCTCCTCCTTAAGATTGCTATTGAGATTAGGGTGGATTAGCATTGAACCTAATAATGGCTCCATTCTTTGATGATATAATAATCTAATCTTAACAACCATTAGAAGTCATTTATGAGTGAAGCTATGATACCATTATTGCATACTCTTTTTAGTTTGTCTTATCCTTTTTAAGATCAGGGGTAAGAAAAGCCTCATAGTTGACTTCATAGTTAGGCACTAAATCTTGAGGCTAATCATCAACTATTGTCCTAAGCTCTAGTTATTTGACAATCGGCTAACCAAGATTAGGATCCAGAGGAGGCAATTCATTTCTATCTTTCATTGCAAAAGATTTTACGATGCTTCCTGGGAATGAAACAGCTAATATTTGGGATATGTTATCTCTTGAGAACTCAACTTAAGTGTAGACCTAAGTATTCTTTGTAATGATTTTCCTAACCAGAGCATAATTCTTTGATACACTGTAAACAAGTATCTAGCCGTTATTGATTGCCTCAACAACTAATGATTTATTATTACTGACGGCAAATGCTGTTACTCCTCCTGATTTATTACCTAATGTTCCTCCAAATATTTACAACTTCTCTATGTTGACATTTTGAGTGAAATAATCTTTCTCAATATCCTTTACAAAGTCATTTGTTATATAGGCTAAGCTTTCATTTGGATCAATAACATCAGCATTTTCATCAATATAATCTTCATCCTTTGCATTCTTGTCTTTCTTCTTTTCTTATACTTACTCAACCTAAACCTTGATCTCAGCTAATAAAAATGAAGTAATTTAAAAATTTTACCTAATTTCGCTACTCCTTTATCTGATATAGTAAAAAGTGAATGATGAATCTTATGAACATCTCTTTTTCTCTCTTCCAAATGAATACCTTACTAGCCCATTAAAATCTTTTTCATATCTGGTTCACCGTTTTTGTACCCTCTTTATGTCTTCAAAGCTTTAACAATAACATCAAAAGATTTCATCATAGCCAAATCATTCAATCTGGTTGATTCCTGAGCAATTTACTTTGCCATTGATTCAATTACTCCTTCTAGTATTTACTATGATAGTCTATAAATATAATATGATTTATGTAATTTACTCTTTTATCGATATTGTTCCAGCTAGCTGATCTATTCTAGCCTCTCTTGCTTATTTCTATTGCTTAAGTCTATTGATATTCTTCTTAACATCCTATGAATTTATCTCATTTTATTAAATCGTGTAGAAAACATTTTCCAAAATATCATTTACTATTGGTGCTACTAAATTCCTCTTGTATTCTGGTATAAACACTCTATATCTATCTGGATTAACTAAATTAAGCTGAGTGCTTTGCTATAAAACTCCTAGCGTCTTGCTATAATCATCCTAAAGATCTTAAAGCTTTTGCTCCTCTCCTCTCAAATTATCTTGAATATATTAAACTACTTGCTTAGCTGGGACTGGGCCACCTATCATTATATAAGAATCATATATTTCTTACCAGGCTATTGTTAGGGAACACCTTTATCTTATCTGTTTTGATAGATATTTTTAACTACATATTCAAGTGGAGGTGCATTCCCTAGCTCAATTTCAGCCAGGAAGTCTAGACCTCTTCTCATGATTTCTTGATTTACTTACTTTTTTTCATTGATTATTTTCTCAGCCTCCAAGAATTTCATACGCTATATGTTAAGCTATTAAAGCAATTCTTCATTCTTGTACTGCTAGTCATCTTTGTCTCTAGACATCTTGGCTTTAACTTCTTCCATGATCTATTTTCTTATTTACTCATTTTCAGGATTTTTATCAAGAATTGTATCAACTAGCAAACTCTAAGTCTTTGTATCTATAACACCCGAGTCTAATTATTTCTGTAAAATATCTGCTCTTTGAATTGCCTTCTTAAGCATATTTGAGGAATCTATATCTTTTTTCTCCAATTATGTCCCTATGCCCTTAATCTCTTATTCTTTTTTTCTTAGTAGTTCATCCATCATGTCTTATTGTTGCTTCATTTTTTCTATTTCAAGCTTTTTCCTGACTAATTTTTCAACCTCAGTCTCTCTCTCCATTCTATGAATATATTCCTCATATTGTTTCTCTCTTTTTTCTATCTCTTAGTTCTTAAGTTTCATTTGAATCATTCTATCTCTAATCATGTTTCTCCATTCATGGTCTTCTTAAGCCGCCCTTTCTAGTTCGTCGGCTTTGTTCAGCATTTCTCTTTCCTTCATTTCAAGGTCATTCAGTTACTTTTACTCATATTTGTACTTAGTAAGTTCGATTTCTTCCTTCATATTTTCCAAATTATCCTCTAGCCTTTTAATTTTATCTTAGTCATCATAGTCATCAAGAATCTTATTAACCGTCCTGTATTTAATCTCGTCCATCCCTTCTCCATAGACATTAACTTTTTAATTGACTGTAGTAGCTATTTTACCCAATTGAGATTAGAATATTGGCTTGTTAGCTCCAAATTAGGGATCATTCATTTGTCGAGGTCCTGAATTTTGTTCTGACTTATAACCAAATCCACCGTATTCATCTCCTCCATATTGATTTTAATTCAAGCTCTATCTAGAACTATCCTATCTTAAAGGTGGCAATCTTTGTGATCCTCGAGATCCTATCATTCTTTCGTGATCTTAAAGTTTCTATTCCATTTGTAGTGTGTTACTTCTAGAATTAGCTCTAATTCTGTCTTCAAACTATGATTGCGACAGCCGGTACTGATTAGATGTCATTCCATTATACATCCCTCCAGCATTGCGCATTAGGTCTTTTTCGCTTATTTTACTATTTATAATTTGATCCACTACTGAATTATTAGCATAAAAATTTTTGCTCTTCTGACTCTACGCACTTCTCAGCATTTCATCATCTCTATCAGTTCTAACATACTGCGAGAGATCTTTTTAATAGGGTTTCTCATCCGCTCTCATAAATGCAATGTTGTTTTGTCTGAATGGCATCTTATAGCCACCAGCAGTTGCATTATTATCACCGTAATTATTGAGTCTTTCCATTTTAAAATTCAATTATTCTCAAATTACTTTTATCAAATTAATTACTTACTTGAATTAGAAATTATTCTTTATTTCTACCAATTCAATTAAAACAGTATATGGGGTTTTGGGGTTTTGGGGCTGAGTATC